ACCATCGTCAGATGGTTATGCCGATAAGCGACACATGAAAATTCTTGCTCGGGCTGTTGACTTTTATCGAGGACTTTTATCATATTCGACTGCATATTCAATATTCTTATCGGTGTCTTGTCGGTGTCTCTACTTGCCGAGCACGAACTCGACTTTTGTCGAGTCAAGGGACGTAAACCTACACCGTGATGGTCCGTCGTGTCGGAAGATTCAAAGTCTTCGAAGGGAAATCAAATCCCCGCGATGAAGATATAAAAGCTGTAGCACGTCGGGCCGACGATTTCGACCCATTACGTTCTAAACGAACATCTTTTCGCCTCGCTCGATGAAATTCTCTGATGTCGTATGAGAAAACAGGAACTTCAACGATATCTTCTCGTCGTCCCTTTGTCGTCCCTGAAATTGCATGACATTCTTTGGAAGTTCGCCGGATAATATTGTATACACACGCCTGACTATTCGCGCCCAAAGAGAAAATAGAGGGAAAAGGAAGAGAAATACGTTTGGTCCGGACGAAGGCACTTTTTCGCCGGAAGGAAAAATTTATTCAAAGCCATAGAGAGAAGCCATAGAGTGAAGCGATGAACAATATATACCTCGAGCGACATTAAAAAGGAAAAGCAACGTTTTATTACGGCAAGCTAATAAGAGCGCTAAAACAACGCTTTTGCCTTTTAAAGCGAAGAAAATAATTAAATAAAAAAATAAAAATTTAAAAATTTGTAAGCAAAGGATTGGGACTCATATCCAAGAGTGAAAACTTTTTACAATCATCACATTGATTTAATTACACCAGATGTAGGATCTTTGTTGTCACAGTTGTCGCGTATAAAAATCAAAATGAGAAAGCTTAAAACGTACGTATAACTCCGATAATAAAATAATCCTTCTGAATTTCTGAAATCGGGAAAAGGCATCTTAAAAACTTTTACTTTAAAGAAATTTTCTCGGCTCTTTCGAACTTCAATTCAAGTTTTCCGCCTTGATTATAGTCGACGATGTTAATATCTTTTGTGGTTTTCAGTTTAAATTGAGCGTATTCGCGTACGTTGCCCTATTTAAAACATGTACGGAACAACGCCGAACGATAAGAGGAGCAGCGATGAAAGTTTTAATTATTTCATTTGGGCGATTTATGTTTTCAGCACTTTCCTAAAAGCGCTGTTACTAATTCTGAGGTCAACGCCGAAGCGCTTTATAGGTGTTTCGCGCAAATGAAATCCTCAGGAAATGAGATTGAGAACCATATGTAGGCACGTAATATTCGTTCGACTATATAAGTGCGTGGAGCGAGATTTGTCTTTGAACAGTCTCTTAATTTTATTAATTCTGAAAAAGGTGTCGCGGAAATCGCTTCTACTTTTTATCACCATTTTCCAGACCCGGCGTTAATGCCGGCGTTAATCACAAATGTAAATCAAAACAAGATATAATTATTCTGAAAAAAAAAAAAATGGGAAAAAATGCGTTTCCGGCATTTTTCCGGAATAATGGAAGAGCGAGAGGTATAAAAAAAAAAACGTTGTGTTTTTGTGTTCAGACGTGATATATCAATTTGATCAATTTGTCTATATATGCGCCCGCGTGTGTTTGTCCGCGCATATAAATTTAGATATACCTCCATAAAAATTCGCGGTTTTACAGCCCTGTGTGCCGTCTCCGTTACAGCCAGGAGAGCCAGAATTTTATGGAAGATTCAATCATCGACTGCGCGAACGGTCATTAAAACTTTATAGGGATTAAAAGCGGATTTCACGCGGAAAAC